TTCCTATGAGTTTCGCTATTGCGGTCGATAAATTGACGCACAGTTTGAGTTTCCTGCGCCCATCGCCGCGTGACGCCCACATTGAAAAGTTTCCCCGCGTTCATCGCTAGACGGTGCGCGACAAATTACGATTCTCTTGTCCGTCTCCCAACAAGAGAATCATAATTTGCAGCGCTGTCGCGCACCGCTAATGAAGTCAGAGTCACTGCTGATGAAGGAGTGTGTCCACGCGGCTGCGTTTAGCGTGGCATCAACCCTTCTTTTTTTTCGGCAAACGACATGTATCATGTCGTTTGTACCAGTCGTTCTGCACCTGCTGTTGTCATTTACCCGCTTGAAAAAACTGTGGAGAATGGATTTGGCGACGCGCCAGATGCAACTACGCGGACGCGCCCCATCATTCGCAGCGAACCACACTGTAAGCAGCAGATATTTAGTATCTCAGGAGCAGAGGTAGGGTCAGTTTTCTTTTCAGGTAAAAAAAGAGGGGAGGGGGTCGTGCAGATATTCTGTCAGTGATCAGTTCCATGAAGTTTGCCATGCGATGCTCGCAGTAATGCGTGTCGGTTAAATTGAATAATATTATAGCTCCAAACACATATTGGAGTATGCACGTGAAGAACTGGTTCCTGCACCCAAGAGGCATGATTGCCGCGATGAAGTGGCTGAGCTCTGTCGAGCGGCGAAGAAACCCTGTAGCGCTTATTCAGCAGGAATAATTTGCTAATGGTAAGCTAATTGTAAGGTAGGCTGTTCTTCGCACTAAAAACAGGATCTTCAACGTCTTCGATGAATTCCCCGTAGATTTGACGCCGCGCGTAATAAAGCTGTTGTCAAGTTGACCGGCTACCTAACGATATATTAACGAAACCTTGTCGAAGGCGGTATTCGGGTATTTTTATTGCCGTCCTGCCGATTAGCTGTTGGAAAACAATAGAACCAACATATACAGGGGGGGGGCAAAAAAAGTCACTTCGACCGAGTCACATATCAGCAAAGTTTTCGCTGCCCAGACAGAGGACGTGGATACGAGTACCAGGGCGGAAGATACCCAAGATGTTCCTCTATAAGCAGGAGCTGGCTCTCGCCCATCACCTTCATGTACACCAAAATATGAAGTCATCTCCAGTCGCAGCCTGACTGGAGAAGACCTTTGGAATTCATGTCACCTCCAAACAGCTGCGAAACTTCTAGTATGGAGTCACCCATGGATAGCTACCTGGAGACCAGTACTCTTGATCTGGAAGACCTCCAACATCGAGCAGCTCAACGTCGCCACGGTCTAGGACATCATCTTCACCACAGTCGCCAAGGCGCGGGTTGATGGTATGGACCGGACGTACCTGGAATGGAAAGACCAATATTTTCTTCGTGGACCCCGGACTGAAGGTGAGCGCTGGCGGTTACATTGAGCAACTCGTGAAGAATATCCTCCTCACATGTCGTCGCCCTTCTTGGAAACTTTGTACTGCTACAGCATTGGGTGCCACCACATGGAATCGAAGGGCGTTGGAGAAACTCTCGCCTACTTGGAATGGAAGGGGGCTGAGTACCTAAAGAAGATGGAATATCCAAGTAGGTCACCTGACCTGAATCCCCTCAATTACCCGGTTCGGGCGGAGTTCAAGGTGGTCTACGGTGGCGGAGAAATCGACTATCTCGCTGATCTCAGGCACCACATCGCGGTCGCGTGCCAGAATCTCTCGATGGCGCTCGTCCAGAAGGCTGTGGCGGAGTGTCATGATAGTATTTAATATGCTCTTTAATATGGTGGTAAAAATGTCCGATCAGAATTTAATAAAGTGTAACTTATAGCGCCTCGAAAGTCAATGAAGAAAAGTGACTTTTTTGGCCCACCCCCCTGTAGTCGTTGTTCCGGTCGACTGTTTCAGCACTGAGCTTCGATGTAGCACTGAGAGGGTCGAATAGCATCAAGCAATTACCTTTTAAAGCATCTGATCACGGTTCTGAGGCACAAATCCCTCGAACCGATTTGACCATTCTTCTTTGCTAAACGCTCCCAGTATTGGAGTACATTTTTCCAGTCCTAAAACTCTTGCCCTTGTGACATCATCTCTCATCACTGAACAAAACCGGAGTTCACCAGACAGTTAATGTGGTCATTGCCTGAAAATCTTTTAGTGATGATTGAAGTTCAACTGTTGTCTCTTCCTGTTCCTTCTCGAGTAAGGCTGTCTTGCATTTATCTTCCTCGCTTTCTCTGTCCACGCAATCCTATTACTTTCAGAACCGCAAAGGTACTTGTAGTCATAACTGCCACACTCAATTGACTCCTTTAGTCTTTGGACATTCAACAGTGGAAGATAGCACGCACCACGTCGTTCTTGCTAGGCAGACTACCTAGAAACAGTAATGATTGGCTCTGCTACAACGGTGTGTGGACAGAGTAAAAGGACGAATAGTGCCCAATAGGTGTGCTAGACCTTTTCGTAACTCCATAGATCTGTATCCTTCAAGAGGATGAGAGCGCTCATACGGTCTTGTTTGCTGCGGATGCTGAGGCATGTCAGGGGTACTGGGTTTGGAACGGCTAACCTGTCCTCCGTCGATGGGCAAGCGATGACAGTCGCTGAAAAATGGGTTGGCGCCGCGCCATGCCAGTCCGTTAAGAGGCCCCGGCGTCTACAGTGAACAAACCACACAGCATATTGCTCAGACGGTCACTGGCAGAACAAGACAAATGCTGCTATAATTCTGGACAACCACTTGATGCGTGGCGCAATAGATCACAATTCACAAGGCATTGTTTTTACCTCTTCGTTGAAGGTTTAAAAATATACAAGCACAGAAGTTTGACCTCAGTCTAGCTCATACTACTCTTTTTCACAGAATATGTACTCTTATCAGTAATTGGTTTGTTTCGCGATCAATTCAGTCACATTTCTCTTCACCATTGTCCACATTTCTTTCACTGCTAGCTAACCACTTCGGAAATTCGTTAACCCATTTGTTTCAACTAGAAATCACGAGAAGTGCTCCTCACAAAGTATGCTTTCCGGTCTTTCGAGCATACCTTCATGACACCACAATTTCCACTTGCAGCCATTTACATCGCCATACGTGATCAATGATTTGTCAACTTTTAGGACCTTTCCAGCCATGAGCCTTTTTTGCTGGGTATTATTAGTGGCGATCTCACTATATTCTGCTGATGCCTACAAATTCCTGGTCTTCTCTCCCATATACGGTTACTCGCACACTAACTTCATGGGCACCCTTGCTGATACCCTAACGGAAGCTGGACATGACGTGGTAAGTCTCAAAGGCTAAAAACCCTATTTTCTGAAGTATGAGACGCATTCATTAGAATGGTCGCACGGCGCCGCGCGCGAAGAATTTCTATGAACAGCGAGAGCTGTTATTGCCTTTCTTTGCGTGTCCTTATCTACTGACTGACTCGTTTTTGTACACTTTTACTCAGTGTTATTGCTCGACTATTTCCCAAAATATTAGCGTCAGAAAACTGACAATGTTGATGAGACTGTCAGCAAGACTGTCAGCAATATAATCAGTGAAGCTGAACCTTGATAAAAGTTCGGTATTACAGTGAAGGGCTAAAAAAATGATCGTTTGTAGATTTACTGATAACCTAAAGACTCGGACCGGATGAGGAAATTTCCTTGCGAAACCCTGACGGCGTTCTGAAACGAAGATGAGCCTTTGTTCTCTAAATAAGAGGGAAAGATATCAAGTGAGAAAATACAACGAGGAGGATCAGTTGATATGGACATCGCTGCCCTATGCCGGCATCTTACTCTTTGGTTTGCTGCTGGGTAAATGTCAGAACAAACTGACATATTCCTTGATTCAGTGACAGAAAATGGATCCTAAACGTCTTTAACCAGATATTTGAAGAAGGCAGGACTTTATTGTGCGTGGACAGGGCGATCTGGTATAGCTCCAGTAGAGCTTCAAGATAAAGATAGTTCGCGCTGAAGTCATTCGTAGGCATCCCTCCTCATACAAGTAATCTGGTCCTCAGTCCCTAAGACTGGTTCCACGGCTTTTTCGCGGCTTTACAATGAGTAACGAATGCGCTGTAGCATCCATTAATGGCAGTTCTGACACCTCCTTAGCTGTCCGACCCTCCGAAACTCAAAGGTATTTTTCTGTCAAGTTTAATTTAAACACATTTGTACTTTTTCGTCAAATGCTATTGGCATTATATGATACGGAGAAACAATTAGGGAGGCGGAGGTGGCAGGATATCGTTTCGCTGACATATACCGAGCACGTCTGGAGAACTCGTACCGAGGGACTGCCTGGTCCCCACTTAGGGTGTGATTTTTTTATGATTTTTCGATGATTATGGTTTTTGGTTTTTCTATTCTTCGATTCTCTATGACTTTTTTGATTTCTCTTCCCTTATTAGTCATCAAGCGACTCTAGGTGTAATTTAGTGTCACTGTTCACACTATCCAATCATGGGCTTTGTCTGTGAAGGCCCATGGGAAGAACCTCCATCAAAACTAAATTGTCTAGCTCACACGCCGATGTATCTTCTCCTTTTTAGCTCCAAATTTTGAAAAATTCAAGCCTTTTCAGAGAGTGACCTCAAAACAGGAACATCAGAATTTCAGACCGTATTGATGCCAATATTGGATGAGGAACAGAAAAATAAAACTGGAGTGAAGTTAACCAAAAAAGTCATAAAAACCCCACCGGATCCGCGTAATCACGTCATGGCACAACACAAGAATGATATATTGGGCAAAATGTGGACATTGGAACCATCCATTTTCGGAGTTCTTCAGGTAACCACTTCAACACTCTAGAAATTGATGACGCAGACTTTGCTGGCTCTATGCATGTTCAAATGAGCATCGCGCTGGTAGAGCAGTGATTGGAAGCACTGCGCTATTGCGTGAGCTGTAGAATCGTAGCTTTCTAGAACCGTTGGGACTTCCCCCACTTTGGTTCAGTTGACTGAGTCGTAATTGTCCAGAAAATTACAACCAAGGGCCGCATCGTCGACCAGCCTTCACATTCTCTTGTTTGGACCAAAATGCAACCAAATGCCCGAAATAAAATTCACTGACTGGCCGTGCCAACTTGAATTCCCCATCATCAAGCATTTTTTCTGTTGGGTTCGGAATACGCATGAAGGTCTCCAGAGCTTCTGCAACAACCACAGTCACACCAAATCTCGTCCCAAAATCTCAATGTTTCTTGAGAGCGATTTGCCCATGCTCTGACTTGCGCTACAGGTTCTTCTGTTACTAAAATGCAATCTATCCAGCACAGCGAAGACGTTGCTCGTGTTGGAAAGGGTTGGAGCGAGGTATGATCACCGCACCGTGTGAGTCCCATGGCACAACGTCCGCTCCGCACATAACCCCGCTTTTCTTCAAATCTCGGAGATTGGGAGGCGTGGCCTGCACAAAAGCCTTGTTTCACACGACTCAAGAAGAATTTCGGACGAGTTTCCCGTTGGCATCGTGCCAGTGACCGCTACGGTAGGTACGGCTGCATGTATGTACTCATATATCCATGCAGCACCGCAGCCGCTTCATATCAATCCCTTCGCTTCATATTGTACTTCGCAAATGAAGCGATACGAGCATCAGCATCGGTCGGACATTTGTGGGCGCTCAGACGCGGTAGGCGTCCTGGCCGATGCTGCAGCTTGACAGGGTGTCATAATGGTACCTTTCTTGAAAAAGGCACAGTGGAGTGCCTGCTCAGGAGTACCTTTATTCCCGCTATTGATTCTACACGCCTTGGGAATTTATCGTGCCGCTTGCTCTGGCAGTGGTTGCGTTTTTGCTGGGATACTGTGTACTGAAACACAATACAGGATGACAGCTGTCTCAAAGGAGAAATACTCCGCGATACACCATGTTCAAGTGAAGTACGCAGCCACGCCAGACCCCTCTCTCCAGGATATGAAGTGTATCTATAAGTGAGATATATGAGGATATGAAGTGTGTCTATAAGCTCAAGGTGTTTAGGAATCGGGGAATCACTTGATCAGACCGATGCCATAATTGTATAATTGTAGAGTATAACAGTCTAGCGAGCGTACCAGTTATCGAAAACACGATACAGCCAGCGAGTTGGCGTCACTAAAATAACTGATAATGAACTAAAATGACCCATAAGATATGCGAAATGAGCAAGGGGTGGACTTTGACCATCTTTTTTCAGATGTCAAAGAACATGACAACAATCTACGTCAATCAGTGCGAAGGTGGGTTACTTTCTCACAAACCTCAAACGGAGGCTGTACGCTTGCATCCTTGTGTGGTCTCAAAAATGTACAACTCATGTACACATGCATCCCGGCTCAGATAGCTGCGCATGCAGCGTTCCATTTCCACACTACACAAAACAAAAGGAGAAATTGGGCAGATACGTTGACGGCCTGTAAGGAGGGGAGGGGTCATGGGAACATTTCTTTCTGGAGGGGGTCGTACCGACTACCGACTTTTTTCCGCGACGTAACGCTTCATCCAGATGATAAGTACCTTGGAGACTAGAGGAACCGTTCGTTGAAAAAGATTTTTGTCGAAGTTTCAGTCAAATGTCGGCGGTTCTGTCCAACCTAGTAATCATCGAGAGACGGAATTACTTTAATTCGTTTTTTAGATTTCATTGAGTAAAATAGAAATTAAAATAGAAATGCTCGAATCAATGGACTGTCGTGTTTAGCTGTCTTCAGTGACGACGCGTTAATGAAACGACTGGCTGCGTAGATGGTTTGTATTAGTGTCGACCGTTGGCATCACGGAGGCTGTCATGATTTGTGGGTTAGGTAGGCCTTGGTCAGGATCCAACCAAATGTCTGTCCATCACTGCATCAAATTTTTTTTCAGGAATCTTCGAGGTCCTAAAAATTCCGGCTTCGATCGCCACAAGGGCTTCTGCGCATTCGGACAGCATTTCAAAAGGCATCGGTGAACCAGTGGTTCCTAGCTATGTACCTGGTGAGATAATTCCCGACTGACAGGTAATATTAGTCGCACAGAAACAATACCAAAACAATACCAAAACAATTTTATCGCCAATCGACCTCAAACTTGGGTAATTAAACAAACGACAAAAACATAAACAACGACGAACATTAGCGAACAAATTAGCACATGATAAAACGACCTAATGAAATGATGAAATCCCCTCCCCCCTTCTATACGGCCCGTTTTCGGCGTCCTGACGTCGGTGGCGTCCTACGTCGCGGGGATGTGTGGCGATGTCCTAGCGTCGTGGAGGGTGTAGCGGCATCCACAAACAGATTAGACGGCCGGTGAATCCGTGTTACAGTAACCCGTTGTCATTGGGGCGCGCTGTTGGATTGGAGCATGGCGCACCGGCCCTTCAAACTTTTAACCATGGAAGGTGTAAGAACATAGTTGATTCCTTGAATTGACTTCATCGGTAGGGATTTCGGCACCCTAGTTCCTGAATGTACCATTTATTCGAGTTATTATGGCGCTTCTGTGATTATGTGCATTAACACTACAAGTAACACAAAGTAGTTTTTGCTCATGAATTCTTATGAGTGAAAACTTTTCACATTGACAACCCCTACAAGCTCTTTTGTGTTTTCTCTAATTGACTCACTGGGTTGGAATTTCAGCACCCTAACTTCTAAAAGTCCGTTTATTATATTATGAAGTATTCTTAACTAACCAGGAAAGGTCAACAGGTCAGCCTGGCCATTTCCAATGAAATGCACACCGTTGTACTCGTCTTGAGACGGTGAATTCAGAACAGTCTTCAAAATTTGCAGAACGATCCTCTGAGTGGAGTTATGGAGGGGTTTCTCTCCTCGTGATTGTTTTACATGCTATCGCGACGAAACGTGGAAACGTCCTTCACATTGAGAAATGAAGTCTTGCCCGACACGTGCAAGCAGAGTTCGCAAACAGCTTAAGCCGAGTGGTTTCGTAGCCAGGACGCATGTCGAATCGGTTTCCACCGCCATCCTGTTTTGCCTCTGCATTTGTCCAAAAACACGGTTGACAAAGCTTCTCTAACATCTCTGCTCTCCTGCCCTATCCTGTAAAAGGACCTGCAATCAGTTTTTTTTTTTGGAAGTGTAGACCCTTTGTGGCCTGAAAGAGTGTTTGGTGCTTGTCCCCCTCGTAACACATGTCACAAGGGTTCTTGCAGTGAAATACCATGATATTCATGTTCAGCGGGTCAAATTACCCCTGGGGAGAAGTTTCAAGCCGAATCTGATACTTCGACCTAACTTGGAAACATGTGGGCTATGGCTAAATGAGTGATTTGGCCGTAGGCTGGTCCACCCACCATCAATTACTGGTCTCGAGATGGAATTTCCTACCGTTAATCAGGAAAATGATGCAAACTGCACGAATAAGTGGGCCAGGTGCTGAAAGACATGACTGAAGAGCTATTTCAGCTAAACAGTCATCATCAGTATGCTAGTCGTAGTATCGCTGGTGGCAATCAGTCAGCCATGACTATCCATACCCCATTTTTTCAAAGCTGAGTCAGAACCTCAGATTTCGCCGGGCTGCCGTCCCCATGGGTTATTTAACCCCCTGAACACGAGTATGACACCTATATTGTGCGGAAAGCTCAGTGAGTCCCGCTACAGGTGCCATCATTTCGGCGCCAGCGCGCCCGGAAGAAGAAAAACAGTAAAAAAACCTCCATAACTTCGCTCAGAGGATCGTTCTGCGAATTTTGGAGACTGTTTTGAGTTCACCGTCTCAAGACGAGTACAAAGATGTGTACCTCATTGCAAATGGCCAGGCTGACCTGTTGACCTTTCCTGGTAAGACTGTGAGTATTACACTCTAAGTATTTCAGAAGTAGTTTCCTTATGACTTTTATTAATGAAAAATTTATGAAATAGTGAAATGAATAGTATTTCATACAATGAGCGAGGCATTTTCAATACACTGCTGAAACGAGCGCAATTCTCAAACTATTCAACACATTACTACAATAGTGATTAGCACTTGTAGTGTTACATCAACCATAATTCCACAGAAAGCGCCAAACTCGAATAAATGGTACGTTCAGGAACTAGGGTGCCGAAATCCCTACCGATGAAGTCAATTCAAGGAATCAACTATGTTCTTACACCTTCCATGGTTAAAAGTTTGAAGGGCCGGTGCGCCATGCTCCAATCCAACAGCGCGCCCCAATGACAACGGGTTACTGTAACACGGATTCACCGGCCGCTCTAATCTGTCTTGTGCGGCATCCTGGCGTCGTGGGAAAAGTGGTGATTTGTGGGCCCCGGCCCATTTGGGCCCGAGAGCGGGTTTTTCCCGCCAAAAGGCGCATTTCGTTGCGGGACTCGGTACCGTAGTTTTTGTCACTGGAGCGCATTTACGTCAACCCTTCTAAAATCGATCGCGTTGCAGCGATACCAGGAGAAGTCGCAGTTTTTTTTTCATAAGTGTCAAACTTAGCGGTAGTAGATATGTTGATGTATTGCTGTAGCTTCGACTGCCATAGCCTCCACTCTAGAAGCAATCGTGCAAATGCAAATTTTGGGAAGTGGGGTTCAAATGCGAATTTGTATATGGTGATCTTACCTTTGGTAGTAGAGATATTCAGAAGATAATGTGGTGTCTGACTCAAATGTTGCTTTTTCGAGGTTCATTAACAGTATTGGCCGAGAAATGAGCGGTAAACAGACAATGACAAGGGAGGTCTTTCAGGTCGTGGCGCGCTTTTTAGAAATGGTTTGTTGCATGTTGTAGGGGTCCATATAAGGATCACAAAAATGGGTTTCGTTTTTGCTATGCCTTCCCCAAAGAAAAGAGATTTCGAGCCATTTTCTAGGCTCTTTTCTATTTCTAATGTTGAGTATGCATAGCAAATGAGACCTTCGTCGACTCCGCATTGAAAACAACACAAGTTAAGGTGAAAAAGTACCTCAATTGGCACAATGAGGTAGCACTAAAACTTCTCAAGTGATCTCGCAGCATCCCACCCCCCACCTAGGGGAGGGTATTCAGAGCCGTGTTGGCGCCAAATGGCCTCCGAGCCAGTGATAAGGTCGTGACCAGGGCCTTTAATAATCCCTACACAGAGTTTCGGTAAAATTTTTCTCCTCGAGCTGTACGAGTTATGATCATATGTATGTCTTGTTGTACTGAAGGCTATCAGTATCCTGTAGAAGTCGTTATGCAATTTCAATACTTGGACCTTTCTATTTACTAGTATATACATTCAAGAACTACAAACTCTGAAAAGGACAATAGGTACTGCACTATATCTACACTTGAAAAGTTGAGGTGGAACCAGTTCCGCTGCGTGCGCTGATCGGGCGTCACTACCAATCCATTATCACCAAAACCTCCAAATTTTTTGTTTTTTTTTTGCCGAAAGTTCGTATACAGGGGTAAGTGATGACCCCAATAACAATTCTAACTCTTATTTCATGCGCTGACGCGAATGGCATCAGCATGGAGCTAAACAGCATATGCGTGCGCATTGACAACGAGTTCAGTGCACGGAAGCTCCTGCAACAAATCGACGGCGACTTGTTGCCGTGTTCAAAAATGAGTGGAATACTCGTGGGCAGGGCATAGAATAACCCAGCTTTCAGCAAGAGTTTTCACAATGGTGTTTCGAGAGCGTAATAGTTAAGCATGGCTAGCTCGTGAGCTATTACTGTGTGGAATTAGCTCTTAAATGGCATATATCCGCGTTATATACATCATCACGCATACAGGAACACAAGGAGACGGAAATTCGGAAAGTGGAAAAACTGGCCTCCGACCGGACCCCATCCACAAACTACCCCGACGTTCGAGAGCCCATAGCACTATCCACTCCACCATCCGTCCCCCCTTTCACTCACTTTTTGGCATTCTCGTAAACGCATAGCAAAAACGAAACCCTTTTTTGATCTCTATATGGTCTCCTAC